GTGCTGCCTTGCCCTCAGAAAGTCCAGCTCCAAATCATCTCTCAACTCTGGGAAATCCCAGCAGGTGTAAACAGCTACCTGAGGTGCTGAGTAGCAGCCCTGGAGGGAGCACAGTGATGGAGCCCCAGCACGTGCCTGCAGGTGCAGCTCCGGCTCCTCCTGAGCTTCCTTCGCCACCAGGGCCGGGCTCAGCTGTGGCCTCAAGGACCTGGTCCCAGAGGAGCTGCAGCCTGGCTTTTCTGCTGGGCTGGGAAGAACATCCATGGCAAGGTCTCCAGCAGCAAAAGGAGGCTGCAGGGAGCCTTTGTGAGATGGCAGAGAGCGGTGTGCTCTGAGCAGGGTGTGAGAAGAGCCACAGTGACTCTGAGGCGCACATCTGTTCTGAAATACACAACATCTGGCTCTGGAGGTAGCATGCAGAGGGTGCCAGGCTGGGACCTGGCTGGAGATATGCCATGGTTAAGGACCATGGTACACATTTCAGGAGAGACACCCTCCATGCCAAGTGTTTGGGCAGGACCCCCCAGAGGTGTCCCCTGTGCCCTGGCAGCAGGGACACCCCGGGACAGCAGGTCCTGCTCACCCTGGGATGGATACCTGGGCTGTGGGACTCTGCTTGCTCCCTGCCAGGCCCAGGGAGGTGTCTTTATGCAAACATGGACACAAGAAAGCCTAGACCCAGCTTTGAAGTTGAGCCTCACTCCTCCAATCCCACTGGGCTCAGTCAAGGGCAGAGTCTCCTAAATGAGAGGGCTGCAAACTGGGCTGGACAGGGCTTCTCTACCCTGTCTGAGGGGAGATCCCCTTTTGGCTCATCCAGGGCTGCAGAGGCAGGGAGTGGATCCCCACAGGTGGGAAGAGGATCCCCCAGTGCCCTGCCCCATGGAAAGGGCCTTGCTGCTGTGCAGGGCGGGGAGCTGCAGCCGTGCTGGAGCCGTGCAAACGGGTGGAGCTGGGCTGCGCTCCTGTAGCACAGCACCTGCTGCACACAGGGCAGGAGCGTGTTTTGCACAAAAGAAGAACCCACTTCCTTTGTTCTGCACTGCAAAAAGAAAAATAAAATCAGGTGGAGAGCATTGCTTTCCCTCTGTCTTATTCCCTGGGCCCTGGGCACAGTTGTCACCCTGGACACGGCTGTCACCCAGCAGTTTGGGCTCTTCCATCTGTTTTTGAGGCTGGTGATGCCACTTGGGCCATCTTCCCCCTCTGGGGAGGAGGGGCTGGGACCCCACCGACCCTCCTGTATCCAGGCCCCCTTTACACAGGGCCGGCACTTCCCGCTGCCGTGGGCTCCATGGGAAGCCCTCACGCCCAGGCAGGCCGCAGCTCTGGGCCAGCAGCACATGATTCCCCTCCTGGGGTCTGCAGCTCTCCTTTCAGAGCCCGGTGAGCCCAGGAGACAGGAGGGGCTGTACAAAGGGCCTTGTTTGACTGCTCGGAAAAGTCCCGGGCGCGAATTTGCATCGCAAACCTCCCCGTCCATCCCTGCCACGCTCGGGTGCTGCCGGCCCGAGGCGCTGCGGGCCCCTGGGTGGAAGCCAGCGGCATTTTGCTGAGCTTCATCCAAATGTATTTCCTCGACGGTGTTAATTTGTGGGGACAAAACTCTCCCGTAAGGAGGGTGGGCAGGAGCTTTGCAGCGGCGGTGCCGCAGTGAGCCCCGGATCGATGGGAGCGGTGTTTGTCTGTCTGAGCTGCAGCTGTTTGTCCTGTTTGTCCTGTTTGTCCTGTTTGTCCTGTTTGTCCTGTTTGTCCTGCAGTGCTTTTGGGAGGGGAAGGGACGGTCCTGGGCCCACCCGCTGGGGTGGGCTCAGCATTTCTGTAGAAGCAACACTTCTGTAATGTTAAATCCATTGGCTGCTTTCACCATCACAATGAAACAGCTCAAGAACATTAGTGCCCCACGCAAGTCTGATTAGCTTAACTCTTGACAGATGTGCAAGTAGAAAACCCCTATTTTACTCCTATTTTACTAGGGAATATTTTTAATAATTTACTCAGCAGTTATTCTGTTATTAGCTGACCTTTCCCTCTGTGTAATATAAACCCTCGAGCAACAAAAGAATCTTCATTAACAGATAAGCTTGTTAGCCAATTTTCACTATTACTCTTGCTAGGTACCTTCAACTTCTAGTAAATTCATGACCATAATGTGTAATTTCCATACAGATGACTCACAGTACATGAGTACACAGATTAGTACTGAGTTTAATGTCACTGTTTTAAAACATTAGAAATATTATGCAATTAAATAATTAGTGGAGCTTTACTGACCCAGAGGGAAATATGGAAGTTTAGCTTAACTGTAATCTTAATCTTTGTATTTCTTGGCTTCAGTTTTTCATTAGCATCCTGAATGCCCCATGATGGGAATTTCCTGGTTTATTAGGAATTTTTTTGAGGGATAAAACCAGACACTAGCAAGATCATCACCACCACCACAAAAAACCCCCAAACTCTAGAACCATTTAAAAAAGCATAAAAATTCCTCTTGGGATATGAAAACCCTAGTGGTCTCCGGTAAAAAAGCCACCATGGGGAAGGCCATCCTGCTGGCCACAGGGCAGGCTGCACTTCTGCAAACATTTGGGAAGTGCTGGGAAGGAAAGAGCTCTCTCCATGCTGTGGGACGCACACATACGGGGCTGAGGGGTAAATCACAGCCCTCCATGCTGCAGGACACACACATACAGGGCTGAGGGATAAATCACAGCCCTCCATGCTGCAGGACACACACATACAGGGCTGAGGGATAAATCACAGCCCTCCATGCTGCAGGACACACACATACAGGGCTGAGGGATAAATCACAGCCCTCCATGCTGTGAGATACACACATACAGGGCTGAGGGATAAATCACAGCCCTCCATGCTGCAGGACACACACATACAGGGCTGAGGGATAAATCACAGCCCTCCATGCTGCGGGACACACACATACAGGGCTGAGGGGTAAATCACAGCCCTCCATGCTGTGAGATACACACATACAGGGCTGAGGGATAAATCACAGCCCTCCATGCTGTGAGATACACACATACAGGGCTGAGGGATAAATCACAGCCCTCCTTGCTGTAACACACACACATACAGGGCTGAGGGATAAATCACAGCCCTCCTTGCTGTAACACACACACATACAGGGCTGAGGGATAAATCACAGCCCTCCTTGCTGTAACACACACACATACAGGGCTGAGGGATAAATCACAGCCCTCCACTGCTCAGCACTCTGTGGGTACAGAGCCCATCGTGAGAGTTCCAGCTGGGACAAGGGGCTTTGCCCCACTTTCACCGCACAATGTATCGTCTTAATAACAAAAATAGTTTTCCACTGAGGGCAAAGTGTTTCATTCAACTCGATCTCTGCGCTAAGGAGCCGTGCCTGGTGATGCCTGTGTGTGTGAGAGGCAAATCTGGGTTTCACCAGAGGCACAGCATGGCTTGCACTGGGCACAGGCACAATAAGCTCCTTCGAACATGTGCCACAATTTATTGTAAAAGCTGCCACGGTCCGACCGTGCTGCCGCGGCCATGTGCGTGTGCCCGGGCTGAGCGCTCCGCACCGCACGTGAACCAGGGCTGAAGATGTTTTTGTCGTTCGGTTGCATTTTGCATCCCTGTAGAAGTTTTCAGAGTAAAACCCCAAGTCGGCTCAGATGTCGGGAGCGATTGCCGCGCAGGTACAGTCATTTATCTTCTCCAGAACAGCCACTACTGAGAATATCCCCCGCGGCAGCAGCGTGCCTCTCACATACCGAAAGAAAAAAAAAAAAAAAGCCCCACCCAGAAAGAACACAGTTTTACTAACCCTAAGGAAAAAAACCCCAACAAAAAACAACAAACAAAAAACCCCCAAATCTCACGGTGCTTTTATAATGTGAGCGAATCCCGGGAGGCGCTCACACTGCCGGGGAGCCCCAGTGCCGGACGCGGGCGGGAGGCTCCGCGCTCGCTGCCCCCCAGAAGTCGGGCGGGAGGAGGAGGAGGAGGAGGAGGAGGAAGAGAAGAAGGCGGCGGCACCGCGGCACTCAGGTTGGAGCCTCTGACCTCCCTTTCGTGCTTGTGGGTTTGAGCATCCCAGCCCCTCGGGGTCCGCGCCGCCGGGGGAGAGAAGAGGCAGCGCTGCGCCCGTCCCGTCCTGTCCCGTCCTGTCCCGTCCCGTCCCATCCCGTCCCGTCCCGTCCCGTCCCGTCCCGTCCCATCCCATCCCGTCCCGTCCCGTCCCGTCCCGTCCCGTCCCGTCCCGTCCCGTCTCGTCCCGTCCCGGCGGTGCTGGCGGCGGGCGGCAGGCGCGTCCCGGGAGCTGCCGCAGCCCCGCAGCCCAGGGGACGCCGCTGTCACCAGGCGTGAGCGCGGACCCCGTGCCCAAAGCGGGGAGAGCGGCGGGAGGGCGTGCGGGGAGCGGGGCTCGGTGCCGGGCTGCTCCCAGCTCCCCGATCGGACTAGCACGGGTCACGGGATTTTTGGGGGAGGTTGGGGTGTTTTTTTGGTGGAAGGCTAGGTTTTTTCCTCTGAATTTCTTCAGTTTGGTTGCTGCTTTCGTCCTGCCCTAGGGTTGTGAAAGTGATCCTCAGCACTTCTGCCTGCCGGTGGGCATTTTCTCAATGAAGCTCCCCATTCCCCTGACAGTAATGAAAAAATGATATCATTGCCACCAGATGAGTTTGGGACCTTCCTTGTGTGACAGGCAATCCCCCCTCCCAGCACCTCCAGTCCTTTCTCATATTGATTGGACTTGTGAAGAAACAAAATTAAGAGTAGCTCGTGATAAGAAAAGGGGAATGAGTCACAGCCACTGTTGAGATGCTCTCACCAAAATCACAAGAGAAGCATTTTTCCAAATGACTCGAGCTGTGTGCTGCTGGGACGGAGCAGGGGACAGGGCTTTTGCTTTGTGATGAGGGCCAGCTCTAAGAGTGCCACTCCTGTTATCAATAAGCTGCAAGTTTCACGTCTGTTCTTATTCCAAGGGAGAGAGCAAGAGCTCGTGAGGCACCATGGAAATGGCTCTTGTGGAGGACGTGCTCCTGCCCACCAACCTCACCTCCAGCAACCAGAGCAGCTGCAACGTGCACAACCAACACTTCTCAACCAAAGTCATCTTCTCCCTTTTCTACACCGTCCTGCTGGTGTTCGGTGCCTGTGGGAATATCCTGGCCCTCTGTATCACCTTCCAGCGCAGGAAGAAGAAACTCAACTCCACCGACCTCTACCTGGTGAACCTGGCGCTCTCCGATGCCCTCTTCACCCTGGCACTGCCGGGCAGGATCACCTACTACATCCTGGAGTCTGACTGGCCCTTTGGGGACTGGTTCTGCCGGATCACAGCTTTCCTTTTCTACATGAACACCTACGTGAGCATCTACTTCATGACCTGCGTGAGCGTGGACCGCTACGTGGCCGTGGTGCGCACCCGGCACCCCGGCAGGATTCGGAAGATGAGCCGGGCCAGGGCCGTCTGCGTCCTCATCTGGGCCTTGGTGTTCCTGCAGACGGCTCCGCTGCTCCTGCGGCCCATGACGCGCAGGATGGGAGACAAGCTGACCTGCATGGAGTACTTCAACTTCGAGGAGATTCCCAATCTGCCCTACCTGCTCCTGGTGGCCTGCATGCTTGGCTTCTTCCTGCCTGTGGGAATCATCTTGGTGTGCTATGTGAGGATCAATCTCAAGCTCTGCCAGACAGCCAAGGAGAACCCGCTGACGGTGAAGAACGGGCACCACCACCGGGCCTTCACTGTCATCCTGGTGGTTCTGCTGGCTGTCCTGCTCTGCTTCAGCCCCTACCACCTCAACATTGTCCAGTTCATGGTCAGGAAGATCCTCTACCAGCCGTCCTGCCGTGAGCAGCAAGCCTTCAAGATGTCCCTGCAAATCACGGTGGCGTTCATGAACCTCAACTGCTGCATCGACCCCATCATCTACTTCTTCGCCTTCCGGGGCTACAAGCGGAGGCTGCTCCGCATCTTCAGGAACAGCGGCTCCCTGGCCACCTCCTCCACTGCCAAGACCCCCTCAGAGAGCAACAGCAACAGCCAGCCGCCCGCCTCCAGCTCCGTCTAGCAGCACCAGCCCTCCCTTTGCCCCGGCCTGTGGCTTATGGATCATTCCTGATGGCAGGAGGTGGAGTGGAGCTGCAGGACCAGCACCTTCAACAGGCCCATGGCTCCCCTGCCTGGAGCCAGGGGCTCTCACAAAGCCAAGCTGACAGGGACAAAGCCCTGCCTGGCTCTGTGTGCCTGGCTCTGTGCTCAGCGCTGCTGCACCTGCCAGCCTGGAGCACGGAGAGGCTCCTTTTCATCCCAACCCAGAGGGGCAGCTTGTGCAACTGCCCTGCCTGGCACACCCAGCTGGAGGTGTCCCAGCACTGCACTGCACCCCTCTCCCATGCCTGTCTGCACCCCCTGTGGGGCTGGGGCGGGCTGGTAACCACCATGGGTGTCCCTCTGCCCCCTTCCCTGCACTGCCCCTGGAGCACTACAGCAGCATCCCTGCAGGCTTCAGGGCAGGCAGCATGAGGAAATGGACTCAGGGCACTCCAGGGAAAGGCTGGGATATTATTTGCATGCAGAAGATGGCCTACAGCTCCTTCTCCACACTTACAAACAGCAGCTCTGCTCTCTGCCTGCCCAGCATCCTGCTCCTGCACCAGGGCTCTGCATGGGGCAAGCAGTAACTGTGGGGCATGTGGGAGATGCTGGAAAAGCCCTCTCTCGAGCAAGATGTGTGAGGATGTGAATTGTAGAGCTCCTGGATGTGCTGCTGCCTACATTCACCATTTGTGTGGCTGCTCCTTCCCCAGGGTGCCCTTCCTCGCACCTGACCGCACTGCAGTCACCCTGGGACCCACTGCCAGGAAGGGGATGGTGGGAATAGCCTGGATCCCAGCCCAGCTCTAAGGCTGCAAACCTGCCCTGCATGTGCTCATGGGGCAAACCTTCCCATTAGTCCTTAGCAGAGAAATAGGAACAAGAGCTGAGAGTGGCCTTTTGTGACCTTGACCGGCCTAGAAGCTCGTGTCCTGAGGAGTCTGAGAGCCCTTCTATGGGAGTGTACTTGTGACTATTGCCAGAGCAAGAGAAGGAACCCTGGGACATCAGGTTCCTGCTGAGGTTTGTGCCTCTCAGACAAGGAGAAAGTTGGCAGGAGCCTCCTCAGCTCTTTGCTGAAATCACTAGACTATGATAAAAAACCCACACAGAGCATTTCACAGTTCCTGGCATGTCTAGTCTTTTCTTTGAAGTTGGAAGGGACAGACACACACACAGACATGAAAGGAAAAAAAAAAGCTACTTATTTTACTGAAAAGTATACCTGAAAATGCTTCATGAACAGACACTTGATTAATACAAATCATTCTTTAAGGTAATAACCTTTTTTAGGCCTAGAAGGTTAATAATACTCACATGCAGCCCTTCATTGTTTTAAATGCACATGAATGAGCTTTTGGACAGGTTTTACTTATGGTATGGGTTTGAAGGCTGAAGGCATGCTGAAGGCTAACTAAGAGGGATGCCTAAAACAACTCAGGTGGGAAACAGACTCCACTAGGTCCTTTCTGGAGGCTGAGCCCTCCTCAAAGCAGGTTTAACCTCAGTGCTGACCTGCAGAGGGCCTTTGTCTGAAAAGCATATTACAGTGGACAAGAAAGAGCTGGGATGCAATAATATCAGGATGTCAGTGGTCTGAATACCCTTGAAGGAGTCTGGCTAGGTTGGTAGTTGCTGTACAGTTACATTGCCCTATTAATATGTCTGGGAAGTGGTGGCTGGAAGGGAATCTCTGCATCACCAACAACCATCATCCAGCAGCCCACCCAAAGCAGGACTGTGGTTGGCACAATGTCAGGCTGGACATGGCTTCATGCAGACAAGGCTTGGAAACTCCAGGCAAGGAGGGTCCCCTTGCTGAGGTGACAGTTCCCACTCTGCATTGCCCTCTGGATAAAACCATTTTTCCCACTGTCGTGTCTGAACTTCCCCATCCACATGTGGTGGCTGCTGCCCCTAACATCACCTACTCGTGCTATGAAGAGCTTGGCTCTGCCATCTTTGTAACTCAAATCCCACAGGACTGTGTTGGGGCTGCCAGTGGTTCGTAGCTGTTGGTTTCCATGTGAGCACCAGAGCAGTGGCCAGCCCTCCTACTCAAGGTGAAGATGTTGAGATGTTTTGCCAAGCTGCAGCCCACAGCTGAGCAAAAACCAGTCTATGACCAAGCCTTCTCAGGAGAAGGTGGAATATAAACATAACCTTGTTTGCTCCTTATTGGACTCTGCTTTTCTCAGACGTACTTTATCAAGAAAGGCACCTCCACCTCTTGCCACCAGTAGGAGCCTTTGGAGTAGGAAACAGCCGAAGAGTTGGGTGTAGTGATGCACAATACAGGAGGGATCCAGCCTTTCTCCTCTGGATGGACACCAGCCTCGGCTACTTTGCTTTTGAAAGTACAAATCCAGGGACAGCAGGCAATTAGCTGGAGCTGAGGGAACATCCATGACATGGAGAAGGAAAGGACTTGGCCAGAGTGGGTCAAGAGGAATCGGGGCAAAGAAGAACTCTGAAGAACCCTCTATTGCCCAGACTAGCTTACCCACCTGTGGGTGCTCCCAGTCTGCTTGCAAAAGGAGCATTTCTCTAAAACTGAAGAGAAACCATACACATTTTGTCTAGAGGCACAGTAACATTTTCCTACCCTTTGCTGTTCACCTGTTCAGTCCAAGCTCCTTGCATGGTTCTTGCTGTACGCTGCTAGCCCAGCGCTGCCATGCTCAGACCCACCAGCGATGCCTTGGAATCACAAAAACGCATTAGCACAGAATCTCATTTAGGTTGGAAAAGACCTCTGAGATCATTGGGACCAGCCATTAACCCAGCACTGCCAAGGCCACCGCTAAACCATGTCCACAAGTGCAGCACCTGCCTGTCTTTCAAATACCTCCCTACGGGCTCTGCCCGGCCGCTGCTCCTGCCCTGCCCCGGCTGGGGGTACCCGTGGCGGAGGGAGCCCCGACGGTGCCTCCGGGCGAGAGCAGCAGCGCCGGTTCCCTCCAAAAGAGGGAGTCGGAACCTTTGCTCGGCGATAGAAACACGCCCACGGGTCTAAGCAGACCGTGACAGACGGGGCTGTGCTTCCCCCACGCGTCCGCTGCCGCGCAGAGATGCGGCGCCGTTGCTGGTGGAGGCTACGGGAGACACACGGGGACCGAAGGCGTTCCGTGCAGAGAGGTGTAACTGCACACTGTGCAGGCAATTCCTGCTTCTCTGCAGCCTATTGGTGCTGCGCTGTCTTCTAAGAGAAGTGTGCACTTTTATCTGAGGGCAGAAAGTACCCTTTGTGGACACACAACAAATGGATAATACACGCACAGATATAGCATATAGAATGTACTGTCTGCATCAGAAGAATATCCTGGGCTGCGTCAAAAGCAGCAAGACCAGCAGGTCAAACGAGATGATTTTGTCCCTACATTCAACTGAGGTGCAATCCCACCTGGAATACTGCATCTGGAGTCCCCAGCACAGGAACAACATGGACCTGTTGGAGCAAGTCCAGAAGAGGGCCACCAAGATAATCCAGGCTGTGGAGCACCTCTCCTTTGATGACAGGATGAGAGCCTTGGGATTGTTCAGCCTGGAGAAGGATCCAAGGACACCTTAGAGCACTGAAAATCTAAATAGCTAAAGCCTCCAAGGCAGCTGGAGAGGGACTTTTGACAAGGGCCTGTTTTGACAAGAGCCTCTAACGACAGGACAAGGGGAAATGTCTTCAAAAAGAGGGCAGGTTTAGATGAGATATTAAGACAAAGTTCTTTACATGGGGGTGGTGAGACACTGGAACAGGTTGCCAAGAGAAGCTGTGGATGACCCATGCCTGGAAGTGTTCAGGGGCTGGGTTTGATGGAGCTTTGAGCAACCTGGTCTAGTGAGAGGTGTCCCTGCCCTTGGCAGGGGGGCTGGAGAGAGCTCAAACAGAACAGCTTTTTTCCCTTAGCAGTGGGTCCCAATTTACACACCTCTTCAGTCTGTGCTTCAAATTGTCCTGAACTGAAACTATTGCACGTTATACATGATATCTGTAAGCCATCTTTGTAAGCTAGTAAAATATTGCGATGTAATTACGCACAAATCTACTAAAAATAAAAGCTTCTCATGGCCAAGTAACAAGCCCTGGTGTGATTGATCAGGCCAGGAGATGTGGGCAACTGTTTTCTCCTAGAGGTGCGCCTGTGCCTCTGCCTGCCCCCAGGCAAATGCCCAGAAGCAGTGAGGGGCAAGCACAAGCTCTCAATCCACTTCCCTTACACAGGTGCTGTGCTCTCATGGAACAGGGAATTATAAATCACCTTCCATGGGGAAAGCTGCAGGACCTGCAAGGAGCTGTGTCCTTTCTGCTGCAGGTCTCTCCACATCTGGGATGGAGAGGTGCCAGGAGAAGTCAGGCTGGCAGGGATAACTGCTTTGGAAGCCAGAACCATCTGCATTCTCACATATGAGTGGCTCCTGGGTTTGCTGCACTGCCCAGCTGCTGGGATTACACTGCTTTCTCACTCGCCACATGTACCACCTCCTGCAAAACTCACCAAATAAAATGTGAGGATTTCCCCATCAGACAGCCCTAAACAAAAAAAAGAGTGGATTTTCAGTACGAGATTAGCCATAACCTTGCATATTTTCATTTTCCACATGAAATTCTGCAAATTCTTTTAAAACTGAACTAAGTGCAATGCAATATTCTGTCCCTTTTCTCTCAGCAGGCCTTCTCTTTCTGTCCTCAGTTCTACTTTGCTCCTCTTTCCTAAACTCAGTTCCACCTGCCTCAATCTTTCTCAAGTCCTTTCCTTTGCTAATCTTACATGACACTTATGGTCCCTACCCATCCTCAGTCAAAAGGTTGGATCCTGCTTTCACTTCAGCCAGGATCCTGCAATTTTTTACTCATTTTTGATGTGTATTCCTTTTGGAGTGCTTTCTCCACTGCAACCATTCAGGTGTAGAAACAGCCTCCTATAAACAGGTATGAGTCAAACTAACTTCTCCTTCCTCTTGACAGCTGAACTCCCA